AGAAACTTCATTAGACGCCTTCCTATACTTGTTAAACCATTCAGCTAATTTTGCAATAATCACATCAATCATAGGTAACAGCGAGTATTTCCTTGCTTCTACAAAAACGCCATTGATAGATTCTGCACAATTGGTGGTGTCTATGTTATACCTGTCTCCGGGAAAATAGCATCTTGCCCATTTCTCCTCACCAACAGTTCTGTCCAGATAGTCGGCTGCATCTGGATACATTTTCCTAAAAGCACTATATAGTGTCAAGAATTCATTCTCTGTATAAGCATGAGCACAAGCTCGGAACTTCTTCGCACAAGTTGCTATATTGCTTCCACTGACATTCCCTTTCACGTTTTGAGACAAATGATATATACAAACACCATTCTGAGACAATGGAAAGACCTCCCGTATTGACTTGAGGAGACTTACGTTTCTATCAGAAAGAAAAACCAGTTCAGGAACATCTGGTACAACTGATCTCAACTTGCTCATAAACCACATCCAACTTGCCTCTTTCTCACCATCAACTACACCAAAAGCAATTGGATAATGGTGATGGTCAGGATCCTGAGCTGTAGCAACAATTAAAACACCACCATATGCATTTTTAAGGTGGGTAGCATCCACAACAATCACTTTTCTCATGACTTGAAAACCCTCAAGGCAAGCTCCCAAGGCAAAGAAAAGATACTTAAACCTGTTTCCCTCATCCAATTCCACATAAGTGCGTGTACCAGGGTTCATGTACTCTAGCATATACAAATAAGAGTGCAACAACTGATAACTCTCCTCTGGACTTCCGCGCACATCATTAGCAGCTGCTCTTTTACCTCTCCATGCAGTAGAGTATGATACTTTAACACCAAATGCGTTTTGAACCAAACCAATCAGTTCTTGTGGTGCTGGAGTTTTAAGTTTGCCTGGATAATCAGAATGGCAAATAGACCTGACCAACTGTGGTGTGCCTTTCCTTCGATTTTTGCTTGTAACTGTAGTAGCTCGAGAACATGTATGAATCTTGATGTACGTTCTAACTGAGAAAAGATCTGAATTCTTCGTCTTTGCAGCTCGTAAATACCACTTACACCCATCTTTTGCTCCACGACATTTTAACACATATCGACGTGTATCTGACTGGATGATATCAACTCAAAACCATTTTTACGGGAGGCTACAAACACTAATTCTTGTAATGACTCCTTTTTGCCAAATTCTTGTCCTACAACTAAATCAATACCATCTTCCCATGTATGATTCACGTACACATCTCCTTCTACAGCAGGTGCCACCTCAATATCATCATACATACCAAAGTCTTCATGCACATTATTTCCAACATCTTCACCATCTTCACCATCTTCAGCATCTTCACTAACAACATCTTCTTTCTGCGGTTCTGATGGTTCACCTTTGTAAAAAGTATCCATACCATCATTAACATCATCACCATGTTGTGGCTCTGACGGTTGCACAAATCCCTCATTTTGCTCAACATCTGTGATGAGCTCCACATGCAAAACCCTTCTACACTGATTATTATTCACTTGCATTAGATAACCAAATACATCTTCATCATTCCGAACATATGATGGCTTCTTGGGATCCAATATCAGTGGAAAGTAGCTAAGTCTAAGCTGCGTCATAGCTCCATCTACCATAAGCTTTTTGCAAATTTTATCAACCAGCCCATTGTAAGTGATCTCTTCCATAGATGTCTTAATCACTAAAGTATGAATTTCAACCTCTTCTGAGTTCCACCTCATGTATTCACCGTCCTTTGAATAACATCCCCCCGAATCAAAAATATGATTGTGCATCGAGTGTTACTCATCGTTCTGTTAAAAGAAAAAATAAAAACTGTTAGAATATATTTATAGTTGTACACCAGTAGTACTAGTTGCACCAGTTGTCTAAAGAAAACCAGTTGTACTAAAAGCTTCTGGTTACAGATCGACGCTTCTGAAGATTCATACGTATTCTAGTACTCTAGTATACTTAAATAACCAATGTAAAGCCCGAACAAACGTATACATAATTTTACTAACCGAAAAAAAAACCACAAACATAATTTCTAAACCCTAAATGCATAAACTCGTTTTTTTGTTGAAAAGAGAAGAATTTACCTTCAAATCACGTTCTGGGTCGTCGAGATCAGCTGAAGAAATGCTGCAGGATATGTATTTGTCAAGGGTTGAAGATCGCTGGGACGAAGCTTCCAGAGTTTCGAAGGAAAAAAACCAAAGCTTCAAGGGAGCTGTACAATTTTGGTTTTCTGGTTTCACGTACAAAGAAGAAAGAAAGAAGAAGAAGAGAGTGGGTCCCATTAACATTAGTTGTTGTTAGGTGGTTGGGCTGGGTAGGTTCAAAGTAAAACCAAAATTAATTGGTATGGGATGGGTGAGAGGTGAGATATTGGTTTGGTTTAAAGGGAGTGGAGTCCTTCTTTAAATAAAGGAAAGGGTAAAGTAAAAAGGGAGGTGAAAAATAGAGAGAAGTATATATAATAAAAGGGGAGTATATAGAATTTTTTAAATTCATTAAGAGTATTTGAGGTTAAAGTCCATATGGACACCCTCAGGAGCCTCAAACTTCTACGTTTATTAGAGTGGATTCGGTTTTGCTCAACAATGAAACCACTTTTATTATGCTGTGCATTAGATCTGTGAGCTTAAGACAAGGGGATCCACTATCCTTTTATCTATTTATTTTTTAAGGGCATTACAGATAAATGGGTCACCAAAAGGATTTATTCAACCGTAGATGAGATTAAGACAAGGGGATCCACTATCCTTTTATCTATTTATTTTCTGTGCAGAAGTGTTATCTCATTTGATGACAAACGACAAGAAACAGAAAGATTCAATGCATCAAAGTTAGCAATCATGGTCCATCGATTAATCATCTACTCTTTGCAGATGATTCATTATTTTTCTCTCTTGCAAATCCACAATCCGGACGAGCTATCAAGAAGGTTTTGAATCTATATGAAACAGTCTCTGGTCAAGCAGTTAATCTGCGGAAGTCTGCAATTACTTTTGGAAGCAGAGTCCAAAAATGAACTAAGACTCAGATGAGAAAATTGTTAGGAATCCACAATGATGGGGGAGGAGGGAAGTATTTGGGAGTTCCTGAAAATTTTGGGAAAAAGAAGTCAGAAATGTTTCAATATCTCCTAGACAAAGTCAATGAGAGGACACAAGAATTAATGGAATAAGCAATTTCTGTCGCAAGGAGGAAAGGAAGTTCTCTTAAAATCGGTAGCTACATCAATGCCGGTTTATGCTATGAATGTTTTCAAAACTTCCAAAAGGTCTGTGTGAAGATATCTCCTAGACAAAGTCAATGAGAGGACACAAGAATAAATGGAATAAGCAATTTCTGTCGCAATGAGGAAAGGAAGTTCTCTTAAAATCGGTAGCTACATCAATGCCGGTTTATGCTATGAATGTTTTCAAACTTCCAAAAGGTCTGTGTGAAGATATCAACAGAATACTCGCAAGATTCTGGTGGGCCAAAGGAGAGGATATTAAAGGAATGCACTGGTTTAATTGGGGCAGACTAAGCTTACCAAAGCGAGAGGGTGGGCTGGGATTTAGAGACATCGAGCACTTTAATCTTGCATTATTTGGTAAACAAGTTTGGAGAATACTACAAAATCCAAACTGTCTAATGGCTCGAGTAATAAAGAGCAGATATTTTCAAGATATAATTATTCTCCTTGTAGGAGATTGCAGAAGAAGCTCTTACATTTGGAAATCTCTTCTTCAAGGGAGAGATTTACTGAAGAAAGGAATGCGTTTTGTTATTGGGGATGGCTCTGTAATCAGCATTTGGTGTGACCCTTGGTTACCATTAGATCCACCACGTCCACCTCGGTCAAAAAATGCAACTATGACACATTGTCTGGTAAAAAATATGTTATCAGAAAGTTCAGGATGGAAAGAAGAAGAAATAAGGGAGTTAGTGGTGGAAGAAGATGTGGACTTAATATTATCATTAAGGGCCAACTCACGCTCATAAAAAGATTTACTAGGATGGCATTACAACAAGTCTGGAATCTAAACAGTCAAATCTGCATATTGGCTAGCTTCTCATCAACACCAACAACAAATAACGCATCCACCAGGTAATGCTGCTTCCTCTGGAGAGTGGTTTCAAATGCAATACCCATAAGTGACAATTTGAAGAAACCTCATATTATACGACAGTCTCAATGTCCAAGATGCCTGCAAGCAGAGGAATCAGAAAATCATCTTTTCTTTGAATGCAACTATGTTCAACAGATTTGGAGAGCTTCTGGGTTTCCCAACAGAAACATTATCCGCATGGGAGTTACTTTTGAAGAACGAATTGAACCTATTCTTAAAAGAAATAATCTGATGCCTCACAAAGTACATCAATACGCGATTTGGCTTCTCTGGAGAATTTGGAAGAGCCGTAATACACTGCTATTTCAACAGAAACAAATCCCTTGGAGAACAACCATGCGACTTGCAGAGAATGATGCTAAAGAATGGTTAGATATCCATCATTTAATTGATAGATACAATCAATAATATCTTCCATTATTATGTTCTGAATATTTTCACTGATGTATTACATTCAGATTACATTAGTCTTATAGTTAAGTCCAGACGTTTAAAAAAAAAGAAACATTTGAAATGTTGAAAAAGATTAAGTGGAAACAAAAAAAGAGATAGAGATTACCAGGAGAGTTAACTATTGATGAAAAGTGAATTATGAGAGATCTTAAGTGATCAATGAAATACGAGTTGTGATCAAGAAAATAAAAGTATAGAGAGGATAAAAAATCTGGTAAGGGCTTTACTCTGCCGTCGGGTGAATCCTGTGTGGAAATCCCAAATTCGGTGATTGAAAAGAACCGTAGTTCATGGGTCAGCTTCATCATTGGCCAATTTTATTCCGAACCTCCTTCTCAAGGTATTGTTCACTCAATAGTCAATGGCATCTGGAGTAAACAATTTCGAGACATCTCTGTCACAAAAATGGAAGGGTTCTCTTTTCTGTTTCGGATCCCTAATGCTGCTACAAGAGCCCGAGTTCTAAATCAGCGTCTGTGGAGTATCGAAGGCCAAACAATGTTTGTCGCTGACTGGGAACCGGGAATTGTTCCGATGAAGCCCGAGCTAACGTCAGCTCCGATTTGGCTTGAACTTAGAAATGTTCCCCTTCAATTCTTCAACGACGAAGGTCTTGAGCGAATTGCTAGCTTGGTCGGAGATCCAAAATTCCTGCACCCTGCCACAGCAAATAAAACCAATTTGGAAGTCGCCAAGGTTTTCACCATTATCGATCCAAGGAAGCCTCTCCTGGAAGCTGTTAACGTTAAATTTCAATCGGGTTAAGTTCAGAGAGTTGCTGTCTCAAGTCCTTGGATGCCTCCGGTCTGCTCTCATTGCAAGGAGATTGGCCACAGTGTTAAGCGATGCAAGAGAACTCCGATTACTTGTCTGTTGTGTAACTCTTCAGGTCACGCATCTGAGAAATGCACGCGTCCTACAGCTAAGTTATCTAAATCTAAAGGAAAGGCTCTAGCCATTGTTCCCAATGCTAAATATGTTGTCGTGGAAAAACATGTGGGGAATAAAGATTTTCCTCCTTCAAATCAGAAACTAAAAGGCAAGTTGCAGGATGCAAAAGAGAGCTACTTCAATCAATCTGTGATAGGTGAATCTAGTGCTGCAGCTAACTCTTCTGTTATTCTTCCGTCTGGCAACCATAAAGAGAAAGCACTGCTCATTTGCTCTGAGGTTGAACCAGATTCATCTGACGTGGACTCTAGCGAATCGGAGGAGGAAGGGGAGCTGAAAGAGGCTGAGGAAGACTTCATTAAAGTGCTGTCCCGAAAGGAACGGCGTAATGCTCGGGACAAGGGTCCCTCCAAACACTAATTTATGTGTATAAACCTTTTTGGCTGGAATGTACGTGGCTTTAATAAGTATAGTCATCGTACTGGTTTGAAAAAAATGGGTTAAGCAGCATCAACCACTTTTTGGTAGTTTACTAGAGACTCATGTCAAGCATCACAAGCAGAGGAAGCTTATCAGTAACACCCTTCCTGGCTGGCAGTTTTATGATAATTATGCTTTTTCGGATCTTGGAAAAATCTGGGTTAAATGGCACCCTAGTGTACAGGTTAACATCTTATCTAAGTCTCTGCAAATGGTTGCATGTGGAGTCAAGCTTCCTGATATTGCGGATGAATTTGTTGTTTGTTTTGTATATGCTTCTAGTTTGGAGGAGCAGAGAAAAGAGCTTTGGGAGGAGTTAGTTCTGCTTTCTTCCAATCAGCTTGTTGCTGGAAAGGCGTGGGCAGTTATTGGTGATTTCAACCAGACTCTGAATCCAAGTGATCACTCTGTGAATCAGGGGTTGAATGTTGACAGGCCTACCCGAGAGTTTCGAGATTTCCTCCTTGATGCAAATCTGGACGATCTAACTTTTAGAGGCTCCTCTTTCACCTGGTGGAACAAGAGAAAGTCTACTCCTATTGCCAAAAAGATTGATAGAATTCTAGTGAATGATCAGTGGCACATTCAGTTCCCCTCTGCATATGGAATCTTTGGTGAACCAGATTTCTCTGATCATGCATCTTGTGGCATTGTCTTAAGTAAGGAGCAGTCTGGTCGGAGGAAGCCTTTCAAATTCTATAACTTCTTGCTTCAAAATGACAATTTTCTGCCTTTAGTGGGGAATACGTGGTTTTCTACGAATGTAGTAGTATCTGCTATGTATCGAGTTTCTCATAAGTTGAAGGCCCTAAAGAACCCGATCAGATCTTTGGCTAGAGCAAACTATTTTAATCTTGAGAAGAGGACTGAGGAAGCCCATAACAGTGTCTTGGAGTGTCAAAGGCGATTGCTTTCTGACCCACCGATTTGTAATGCAGAAGATGAGTTAGAGGCCACCAGAAAATGGCAGATTCTGGTGCGTGCAGAAGAAGCATTCCTATTTCAGAAAGCCAGAATCACATGGATTAAAGAAGGAGACTGCGGGTCTGCTTACATTCATAGAATGATGGCATCTAGATCATCCATTAACCATATTCACTACCTTGAAGATGCCGATGGTACTCGGTTTTATTCTCAGCAGGATATCCAGAGTCATTGTGTCAGTTATTTCTCTGAGCTTTTGGGTGGCACCGTTGGTCCTCAATTGTTCCTCCAAGAAGATATTTCAAATCTTTTGGATTTCAGCTGCTCCGTGAGCAAAAAGCATACCTGGGAGAAAGACTTTTCTGATCTTGAAATAAAGAAGGCGTTTTTCTCTCTGCCCAAAAACAAAACTTGCGGGTCTGATGGATTTTCCTCGGAATTCTTTATTGGTTGTTGGAATCTTATAGGTCCGGAGGTCATTGATGCTGTTGGTGAATTCTTCAAATCTGGAAAAATATTGAAGCAATGGAATGCTACTTCCTTAGTTCTAATCCCGAAAGTGCACAATGCTGCGAGTACCTCTGATTTCAGGCCCATCTCTTGTTTAAACACGCTCTACAAAGTTATATCAGGCTCCTTGCTCTGAGATTAAAAGCCTTGCTGGAGGAAGTCATCTCGTACAGCCAATCAGCATTTATGCCAGGTAGGCTCTTGTCAGAAAATGTTTTGCTTGCTACGGAGTTGGTTAATGGCTATAATCGGAAGAACATATCTCCTAAAGGAATGTTGAAAGTGGATCTTCGTAAAGCATTCGATTCACTAAGGTGAGACTTTATTTTGGCGGCACTGAAAGGACTAAATATCCCTGATAAGTTTGTGGGATGGATATCTGAATGTATTACAACGCCGTCATTCTGTCTCAATCAACGGTCAGACAAGTGGATTTTTTAAGGGCTCTAAGGGACTTCGGCAAGGAGACCCGTTGTCTTCCTACCTATTCGTGCTTGCAATGGAGATCTTCACTCGGCTACTGCAATCCCGGTTTGCCTCTGGGTACATCCAGTATCACCCGAAAGCTGAGTGTGTCAATATCTCACATCTTGATACGATCATGGACCCGGAGGACGACCCAGACAAGGGAATCGAGGTTCCGGAAGCACATTTGGCTGTACCGGATGGACCTATGACGCGATCCAGAGCTAAGAAGCTGGCAGGGACGGTTCAGGCTGTTCTTAATGGGATCAAGATCGGACCAGGCGACCTAGCATCACCCAAGATTGTGACCGTGTTCATGAACGCCGGCTGTAACTAATCCGGTCCGGGTGATGGCTTAATACTCTTTTTCTTTACACCTGGGTTTGTCCCAATGGGTTTACCGTAGTCCTGGGCCTTCGGGTCCTTGGTTCGGGTCGGGTCTGATTTTTCGGGTTTCAGGGTTTTCGGGTCTAGAGGAATTGGACCAGTTCGGTTATAGTGTGTAATTTGGTTCGGTTCGGGTCGGTTCTTTTCGGATTCGGGTCGGTTATTGAATTTCAAAAAAAAACCGAACAGGAACCAAAAAAATTTTCGGGTCCGATCGGGTTCGGATTAGACCCGAAAACCCGAAAAAGTGTACTTGAAATGTCAAAATATAAAGAGTAAAACAAAAAACTTTGTAGCTTACATTCCAAATGAAAGTGTTTAAGCACAACAAAACCAATATGCAGAGTTTAGAACTTATATAACTCTAACTCCAAAACAAGAGTAGACTTAGACAACAAAATGTTTTGCAGCACATTTCCAAGTTCCAAAAGCAATCCAAAAAACACTTTAGAGGCAAGTAAGAGAGTCTAAATGAACACAAAGAACACAACCAAAAAGAAAACCAGACTCAGTGTCTCATTGTGTGCTCTCAGACTCTCAGCCCCTTCACTCCTTCTCTAAGTTGTCTACTGCTACGCCTACTCCTTGTTCTGCAAAAATCACACGTTCTCAAATCTCATCAGTCAAAACTTGACAAACTCGGAAGGTCAAAACTGAGAAGACTATTACAAGATAGAAATAAGTGGGGATAGTGTCATACATACCTAATCGCAGATGAGGAATTCAGCCTTCAGTTACACGACCAAAGTCGAACTCTAACATAAATTAACGAAGCTAATGTTAAAACGTAAAACCAGAAGCACAAACAACTATAAAAAACAAACTAGAAGCTAAGGTTTACCTCGCTGTAGTTTATCCTGCATTTCAATCTCAGCAAGCAATTGCTCTTTTGTAATAACAACTCCCTTCTCATTCAAGTGACTATCAGTCTTCATCCATTGCTCAGTGCACATTAAAACTTCTATCATATAGTGTGTTAAGCAACTTCTAGAAGGATTTAAAATTCGGTTACTTGTGCTGAAAGCAGACTCAGAAGCAACCGAAGTAACTTGCATTGCCAGAACGTCCCTTGCAATCTCAGATAAGACTGGATACTTCTGAGTGTTGAGACGCCACCAACCTAACACATCATATTCTACACCGGCCATAGTTGTCTTCGGATTCTCTGTTCTCTCCTTCAGATATAACTCCAGCTCGTTACTTGCATCCTGAAACCCGATTTCACTTGCCATCTCTTTGTACAAAGAGTCCATTCTTTCATACCCGAGCTCTTCCTCTAAGTCTAGATCGCCTTCAACCTGCTCTTCAGACTCTTGTGTAGAATGGTTCTGAGTCTGAGATGAAGATGCTACAGACTGAGAAGATGTAGCATTCACAGGTGGGACCATAGCAGAATTATACTCTTCAAATAACCTCTTCATAACCTCTATGACTGCATCATGAAGTCCCTTAGCTTCCATGCTGTCCTTACCGTAAAGCATATCAAAGCACATATCCGCAAACTTCATTTTGTTTCTCGGATCCAAAATGCTCGCAACTATCAACAGCCTATTGATTTTCTTGGTTCCTTCCCAATACTTATCAAATTTATATCTCATAGCAGTGGCTTTTTTCCTTAGTGCTTCATCAGTATCAGTACTCAGCTTAATGAGATTTCTTTCAATAGTTACAATCTCATTGTAACACTTGTAAGAATTAACAGAAGTAGAAGCAGAAACCACCAGAGTAGACTTGTAAAAAATGATGAGAAACCTCACTAACCTTGCCACGGACTCCCAATCAGCTGGTGTAGGTGGCCCAATCCGTTTAGTCCCATTGACCTTTTCTTGAAAATGGTCAGTATACAACTTGTCTTCTTCAGCCATTTTGATGAAAGTAGTCTTGAACTTAGAATCTCTCAATTGCATCAGGTACGTTGAGTTCCATCTTGTCTTACAGTCCAGACTTAAACTTCCTCTTGTCATCTTCCGTGACTCAACTCTAGAATCAAATGCCTTCACTCTGTTTGTTGATGCTCTTACATAAGACACAGCATTCCGAATAGAAGTCACGACCTTATCCACTTCATACAAACCATCCTTCACAACTAGATTAATGATATGAGCAGAGCATCGAAGATGCATAAACTCTCCTCCTAAAACCAACTCACCTCCTGCCCGAGTAAATGCCTCTTTGAATCTCCTCAAAGCTGATGTATTAGCAGTGGCATTTTCCACCGTGATGGTGAACAATCTCTTTATATCCCACTCAGCCAAAACCTCCATCAGAACAGCAGATATAGTCTTTCCCTTATGGTCTGTGACATTCCTAAACCCAATAATTAGCTTCCTCAGCTTCCAAAATGCATCAATGTAGTGTGCAGTGATCACCATATAAGATGCAGCCGTCGTTGGAGCAACCCAGATGTCTGTTGTCAAGGATAGCCGTTGCTTAGTACCCTTTAGAATCATCATCATCGCAGCTTTTCTCTTGACAAACATTTCCACAATGTCACGAGTTGCTTGTCTTCTAGAATGTGGCTGATGAAGGTTAAGCCTTGCGCAGAAATGTCTGAAAGCCAAACTCTCTATGAATGTTAGAGGCAATTCTCCCAAAACCAACATCTCGTTACAGGCTTCATGGAAAACTGCTTCAGAAACTTTCGATAGCTTCAA